GTGGTTAACTTACAGCGTTTACGTCGTAATATTGAATTAAGCAGAGTGGAAAATCTTAGGCAAGAGGTTTTAGATCGTTTTGTGACGAAGTTAGATTGATTAAAACGAGTAAACATGTTATTAAACAATGAATTGCCCTTATATGTACTCTTGTATCACTTGCCTTTTATACCTTTATACCGGTTCTCCTTATACCGGCCAAAAAATCCCATGGACGGGGCTGACCGGTATAAAGAGGTTTCACTGTATACACGAATGTGGGGGAAGTGTCATAGCATATAAACAAATAAACAAACCTTAATCGTTAGAAATTAGATATTATTTCGAATGTATGATTTTTTTTATTTATCGTGGGTAAAATTTATTAAAATTTGTTAAATGCTTTATTCCCCCAATCGTTAATTATTACAACGAAGGAGTAAATATAAAGGGGGTTTCAGATATTTTTTTCTTACCTTATATGTTTTCGCAATAAGAAATGCATGAAATAAGTTCAAAAAGGTTATAAGAGGAATGGGTCTATTAAAAATCATATGTCGTAGGATTTCTTTTTACGAGATCTAACCTCCGATGAATTCTCCACACGTGACACTAACTTTACGTGTATCAGAAAACGTTTTGTTGTTGTTGTTGTTTTTTTTTTTTTTTTCACTTGAATATTTTGTTTGAGATTGTTGCAAATATGATTTCAAAACTAGAAGGTCCAGAAGAATTAGAAAGCCCGTATTTCAAAATACAAAGCACCCTCGAACCACATAATCTCGTTGAGACGTCTAAAAGAATTTTACAGGCAGTGAATACCAAACCTGCGTTAACCTATTCTTACTGTTTAGAAGTACTATTTGAGGACGACAAAGCCTTCTTTACCTTATGTCTTAACCCTGTTTTGTGGTTCGATGTGTACTTGAGAAAAAAAGATCTAGAGACTTCCGCTAGGATTGCGAGAACATACGTCACCAATGCCCGGTTAACCGTATCTTATGAAAATGATATATTGTTTAATATCTAAACTAATAGTAATAATAATAAATGAAAAATACGTAAATATAGTGGTAATAACAATATAAATAAAATAAAAATAAAATAATAGAAATAGTCCGGTAAAATGAAATCATTAGAAAGACAGTCAGATTTTTAATTTCGGAAGTAATAGAATCGCCTCGAGAATAGTCGTCTACTTTGGTTTTAGAGGTAGTCTCCCAAGAATGGTCGTTGATTTTAATTTCAGAGGTAGTCTCTTAGTTATTGTTTCAATAAACGTTACAGTTTAACTGGATTACGTTTACCTAACCGTGTTTACAAATTATATAAATTTGTAAAACTGATAGACTCGCTCAATTGTCAATACACATCCCGCGTATAAGTTATTTGCTAAAATCAAAGATGGACGCAGAATTATTGTTTAGTTCGACGTCGTTTTTTACAATTAGGAAGAGTATGGTCATCTAAAAGTTGATGACAAAAAAGTTTGTGGTTATAATTTGATTGTAATGCTTTCCACAGATAAAGTAAAATTTCAAAGAAGGCTGGGGATCCACAAATTCAGGTATTAGTATGAAATGTAAGACTTGTAGCTGCTCGAGCGCTACCAGCATGTCTTTAATCCAAGTCTATCGTATTTGCCAACGAGTCAACAAATAAACAAGGAAACTCCCTAGCTCTTTTGGTTGTGACTGTTGTGACTGTTGCGACTGCGACATCTTACTTGCTTCGGGTATTCGAGTTTTCAATTACGAAATAGACATAGAATTTTGAGCTACTCATGCCGTATACGCTCCTTCATACCTCGTAGGCCATAGCAGTATTTTTTTTGTGTGTTCCATTATCCTGTTCCTAAAATGCTCTGAGTTGGTTGCAATCAGGGGAGTGTAATCGCATTGCCGAGTCTTGAATTCGACGGAACATTTTTCAAGCATGGAAGAATCAAAGTCGGTCATTTTAACTACTTGCAGAGTATCTGTTTTGATGCCGATAAAGAACGTAATACTTTGCCATACCAACAGTGCTTGCTTACGTGTTATTTATCAGTTTATTGTTTATTATAGGGACAATGTTTGTTGTTGATGTAGAATAGCAGTCCAACGCTTGAACAAGTCTTGGATAACAATAATTGTGTCTGAAATAGTATTCATTTTGAATAAAGGTTATACTCGATCTATTACATCACATTGGGATCAAAACTTTGGTTATGATATTGTTTTGTAGATAATGGAGGCATTTATTTAAGAACAATTTTAGAAACATATTCAAAGTCTTTTATCTGATTACTCTGGACTCGTTCATAACCGTCAGTGAAAACTTTTAAAACCATCTGTTTACTAGAATAACATGACAAAAGTATTCTATATCGCCGACGATGGTTGTATCCCTGAAATTCGAAAAACCACAAGCCCACTATCAGTCTTGAATAATAATTATCAATAACCGATTTTTTTAAAACGATAATGTAGACATGCTTTGTGCCAATTATTTAAGAAATTGTTTAGCTTATGACTTTGAGTTGTAAGCTTTCTCTAATGTTCTGGATACAGTGACACCTCAACGCCTTGGTATGTTGCATTTATAGCGGTTTTGCATTTATGAGGGTTTCCTTAATAGGAAAGAAGATATTTAACGTCTATTAAACAAATTTCCCTTTATTATAATTTCAGCTAAAGTTACGTAAAAAGTTTGACTATCAATATCCCTAATTATTAACTAAGAATTGTGTTGTGTTACTTTGTTTCATTGAATTTCTCCAAACTTTTAAATAGTTGCTGGCTTCCTCTTGTTGAATTAGAAACGTCTTTATAGTTTCTAAACTTTTAATGCCTCATTTACATTTACTATTGTCAGTTTCTTCATGTTCTCCACTAAATAAAACCCTTGTGCTGTTTCAAAGCTATTGTAAACAGGATCAAACTCAAACACTGAAAAAAGAAAATCACACATAACAGGATCTATAACAAATAATGTTGTGCGTGAATGTTTGATAATTATCGGGTCGATTGTTATCGACCTAATTATTAGACCAATGATCAACCAATCACATTTCGATCTATGGGAAGGTCGAGTTTATAAATGAAGATTATGATAGGAACACGTTTTCCAAGTGCCAAAAAATTCCATTAATCGAAAATGTTTCAATTGCAACACCGCTGTAGGTTTCAATAAGCAACACGTGACTCATATTTCTATCAGAGTAACGCTTCAGGCAGAACTTGTATTTAAAAAAGTCATCTTGAACCCAGACTTTTAACGGAAGAAACAAAACGATTGATGAAAGTAGTGAAAACGGGAATGCATTAAATGGGATTTATTATAGAACAAAAAAAGATGTTTTCGAAAGCACTTGAAAAATAATCATAGCGGATGAAAATCGGGATTCCCGTTGACCGTTCCACTGCACAAAAGTTGCTCTCTCCGCTTCTTAGTCTCATACGAATACCGTAAATACACCATCGCCTTCCGAACATTGTATTAGACCCATAATATGTAGTTCTGAGTGGCGTGGTTTAGCAGTTTATTTAACCACCAGATACAGATATTTAATAGAAAGGCCTCTAAATACTCTCTACTTCTTGCAACATTTGGGCAGGAATTCTGAACAGGAGCATTTCTAACTTGTAACATTTGAAGAGCAATTATTTGTATCCTGTCAATAACAGAACACGAATTGGAATTTGTATGGATGTTGGCTTACTACTGTTTTATTCGCGTGCAAGGGATATAGCGCTGTTATCTGAAAATTTGTAGAACTAAGCATTTCGTTCCGTGAAACTATTTTAATTGTATTAAAATTGGTGTTACAAATACTGTTTGCAAACTTTGCATAATCATATATTCCGCTATCTGATGAATCACAAATAACAACCTTAGTTTCTTGAGAAACAGTTACACAATTATTCCTAGCACGAGAAACATTTTATTACCGCATAGTCTTTTCGAATCTGATAACACCCTACCAATTGCCCTTCTCTTTTCCGAAGCTTTTGTTATCGTCGACTTTTTTCAGTTTAATGTTCTTTCATTAACAATATATAGTACGATATAAAATAGCACTCTCTTGTAGAAGTACAAATCTCAGGTCTTGGCTAGTGTAAAACTTCGTTCACATTTCCCCTTAAATTATAGAAATATTATAAATCGATGTCTGTCTGCATAAACAACTTTTTTTTTTGAGGTAAAACTTTTCCTGCCAATGAAATACGAAAGTTTCGCTACCACGGCATTCAAGTCATCTGACAAACTGTAAAGTGAAACTGTTTACGCATATCGAGTATTTACGGCGTTGATGGGACAATAGCAAATGTACTGATTATCCAACATGTAGAAAGAAAACGCTTTAAAATATATACAAATTTTTAATTGAAACGTTGTTCGTAAACGATCTAATGCATGGCTTTGTTGAACATTTATGGCAAGACAAGAAGTAAACAAATTCGCCGAATAAAGCTAATAAGGAATAAGTAACATTTTTTATGCAACACTCGTCTGAAAAACCGTAAAATTACCGATCGAATTTTGTGGCTGCAATGAACACAAGGAAAATACCGACATTCCCCTCGACTAAAGAATAGTTGCACCATTCCCACAAAGATTCTACCTCGTTACCTATTGACGATCATTAGTTCATCTATAGTAATAGTCACATTAACCAACTAGATCAGCATACTTTCGTTAAAGTTTCTGGCATTTTCGTCAGTACAGCAGTATATCAAACTATGGATTCTATCACCATACCTTCAACTGTCTCATTACGTTCAATATTCACAAGTGAAGTTGAAAATCCAGTAACAGAAGCGTTATGTTTTACTAATTGATCGACTTTGGTATAGGAAACAAGCTGGTTCCATTCCCATCTTAATCCGTCGATGGGTCAACTAAATTTAGACAGTGCATGGCCATGATTTTTTAACATCGGGCATCGTCAATAAAAGAAGCGAAGATCTTCTGTGCATTTTTAGTAGAATGGTTGGTTATTATGGTATCGCCAGTAGATGGCTCGCACTTGTATTCAGTTAATAGCTCTGGGTATTCACGCAAATGCATCATATATATATACACTCCAACCATATGTAGATCGCCTCCCTACACATAAAGAAAGTTTGTTTGACACGGTTGTCTTTCACATGTCCCGGAAATGCAAATGTAGTATACGCTGGCCATTGCTAAAGTTTTTACTCACACGTGAAATTCGGTAAAATGTGGTTTCGTAAACACACTTTATTCGCTGAATAACAAATATAACAACTAGCAACATCTTGTTCGAATGTTTCATAATTTTTAGGGGAGCTCTGGCAAGCTTCTTTTATGAAAATAAAAAGCAAGCGAGGAAAAGCGTCGTTTACGTTGGACTTTTATATTCCCCCCCCCCCCCCGAAAACTAGACCGGTTAAGAGTTAATTGTATGTAACATACAAGAGCAGGTCCAGTCCGTGTAAAAAGACAAGACAAACAACACAAACATACCAAAAAATCCAAATTTTCAATTTTCAAAAAGCACATATTACTAGCTCGAACCATTCTCTCTAACCAGCAAGTCGATTACTTATATTTCTCTCCCCCTCTCCTTCTCCTCCTCCTTTATTGCGGGAACGGACCTCTTGAAAAAACATGAACGGTCGCTTTCCAGTCCGCGTCGCCCCTCTAAATGTCCCATTTGAACGTCGCCGTCAAACGACAGCAGTGTTTATCTGGCTAATCTCATTCCCAGTCACTGTTGCCTTTTTCTTTTTCATTTGCACGGCACCATTCTTCTGGCCGTTGGTGGTTGCGTATGTCTTATTTTTGTTATTTGATTACGCTCCAGAGAATGGCGGAAGGAGGTTTGAGTTTGCCCGAAAGGCTGCGTTTTGGAAATGGTTTGCGGATTATTTTCCTGTCAGATTGGTTAAAGTAAGTCGAATGTCAGTAAGGGTGCTTGCTTGCTTGATTGAGAATATATGTGTGCTTCACTAAATAAATATAACTTTGTTTTTGTTGTTAGACGGTCGATCTGGATCCTTCAAAGAATTACGTATTCGGTGAATAATCACGAGATTGCGCATTCAATCATTACATACTTGGGTTTTTTATTCTGACCCCATCCAAACGCTCCATGTTGACTTTGGGTGAAAATATCACTGTTTTTCCGTCTTTCCTCCTCCTCCTCCTTCTTCTTATCATCCAGGATATCACCCGCATGGTATAATATGTCTTGGTGCCTGGACAAACTTTGCAACGGAAGCCAACGATTTCTCCAAGCTGTTCCCGGGAATAACCATTTATCTCCTTACCTTGCTTAAAAATTTCAACATTCCTCTTTATCGTGATTTTCTGATGGCGCAAGGGCTTGCGTCTGTATCGAAAGAGTCGGCCAAACGCATATTTGATACTGGCCCGGGACATAGTGTTGTCATTGTAGTTGGGGGTACGGTAGAGAGCCTAAGTGCTCGTCCGGGAGTTTATGATTTAACCTTGTTGAAGAGACTGGGTTTCGTCAAGGTAGCCATCTGCAATGGGTAAGTTGGGACTATTTCGGTAGTGGGGGGGCATCATGTTGGTAGAACTAGTTAATCCCGTCATCATAATGATTATAATGATTTCTAATAATACATCTCATATGGGCCCGATTTGCTAACATTACTTACATTAATTACCTAATCCCTGCAGTGCTTCTTTAGTTCCCGTATTCTCTTTTGGTGAAAATGATATTTGGGAACAGTTAGCCAATGATAAGGGGAGTAAGCTGTGGCAGATGCAGGATAAAGTGAAACAACTGTCGGGATGGACAATACCTTTAATTCATGGAAGGGGATTATTTAATTGTGAGTATAATACCCATAATAATAATATATATGTGTGTGACTTGAAAATAATGCGCTAATTGTTTCGTCTTGTTCCAGACGATTTTGGACTCTTGCCTCATCGTCGTTCGATTGTGACTGTTGTCGGTAAGCCAATTGACGTTGAATATGATCCTAATCCTAGCCAAGAGAAAGTACTTGAGGTCCAAAAGAAGTATATTGATGGGCTATATCAAATATGGAACGAATATAAAGATGTGTATGCAAAGAATAGAAAGGGGGAGCTAACTTTGATCGAGTAGTACAATTAAATATAACTATATGACTAATAATATATAATGTACGAGTTATTGCTATTATTATTATTATTTATTATTATTATTATTATGGTCTGACAAAGAGGCCGAGTTAGACTATCACTTACCTGGCTTATACCGATTAGTTTCCCAATCTGCTGAATCGCATACAAAACGGTATCATCCGACTGAAACACCTCTCGTAACAGCGACTGTAGCAAAATAGTGATTGCCCATACCTGCATTTAAATTAACAAAAGTTATTAGGCAACTTTATCGGAAAGACTAAAAAGACGGAATGTTCCCTTTTTCATCGCTACTGTAAATCCCAACCATATTCGTCAAAGCCATTTCTTTCTACCTATCATATTATTTGTTTCTTGTCTATCTACCTCTAAAAATACTGACGCTTCCATATTAGATCAATTTTCCGCAGATCAGACTCTTTGTGCTCTCTTACAACGAAAGTTCCATCTAGGTGAAACTCGTATTGTCACACGTGTACCCGTGGATTGACAAAGTTCATTAATTTACTATTATTACCCGTTGTACACCGCATCGACCCAGTCTGAATGGAAACTGATATAAAAAGACACGATAGACGGTAACAAGACTTTTTTTTTTAACGGGAGACGACGTCTCAAAAGCCCTATACATATCACGACACTATTTCCGCTCATTATTTAAAAAATTCATTCTTTACGACATTTGGTTCGGAAAGAAGGGATTTTAAATCAAAAAAAAAATAAAACTTGAAACTGGTTTTCAAGTTCCATCATTGTCATCACATCCTCTCATATGCATATTTCACTTTCTCCATCCTTTGCAATTAATCCACTGATATATCGCGTTTGATCCTACTGTTCATACTACAAAAACAAAATGGGAAAAGTTGTGTGGAGTCAATGGGCAAATCTCATAGCCATTGTTGCTGGTGTCTGTAAGTATCAAATGATGAGAGAGAAAGAGAAATGCATATTTTATCATGAGGCGATCCGCTAACATTCGCATTTATCGCTTGGTGTCTCGTACAGTTGAAGTTGTTGGCGGGGTATTTGGTTTATTTTACAGGCTTTCTATGTGGGAGCAGGTGACAAGGTAAGAAGAGAACATATTCGAGAAATGCTCGAGAAATGCTCGAGAAATGCTCGAGAAACGCTTTTTGTTTGCATTTGATTATTTTATTAAGCGATCATTTTTCTATCAATAATAGCATATTCAATGCCTTTGTGATTCCAATCAACGTCATTGCAATAGTTTGCATAGTTTTTGGGCTGGCAATCTTGGCCATCGAAGTACCACTACCACTTTTCAAAGGTTCCTTCTTCACGAGAACCTACGTTCCCCGCATAGTGCTTTATACCATCTTTGCTGCCGTTTCATTCATCGACTATCAAAATGTCAATCCTGGATTATACATGTACATTTCATGTCTTATGTATACGATAGCCTTGGCTAAAGGAGAGAACAAAGTGGCACCAAAGGAGACTCGTGGGTTAAAGGTTTAAAGTTGAAATATTTTGTAAATACGGACATTCTGTGGCGGCCATATAATTGATAATATGAGAGAGCGCTAACGAAGAATGATGGAAAAGGAGTTTGGGGGTGGGGTAGTAGTATAGTAGATAGAGAAAGCTGTTGCCAGGAGCGAGCTTTTGGAGACGTGTAGATTATTGGAATAGTGTTCGTACAATCATACATTATCATTGTTTACCCGTTCATAGTAAGAGAGTACCGCAGTGTTCTTTTGTAATAATATATCATCACAATCATTTGCAAGAAAACCAACCGTTCGCCGGATAATAATAAAAAAATCCATATCAACACAAATGAGTCACGTCGATTGTCAGCAAATGGCTTTTTTTTTTTTTTCGCACAGCGTTCAGAGTAACAGTAATCATGTTGATTAGTAACATGGCCGTTTCATGTACACAAATAAATTGTTACCTAAAATCTGGATCGTAAATTTAATTTGTATCACGAAATATTGAACTTAATCAAAAGTTGAAACAGTGCGACTTGCTCAATTTAAAGCAAGACATTTACATTCGTTCAAAGGGTTTTTGTAAGCTATGCAAATGCAAGTCCTCTGATAGGTAGAATGCGATTATGCGAGTAAAAGAGTTTGAATAATTTACTTCGTTACACTATTACTATGGCCATATTAATATTCCCGAACCCGCAATCGGTAATAACCTATTACTATAGTCGGTAACAATGTCGCGAATATATTAATATTACTATTTATCATTATCCCTTAATATTAAGCTCAATTCACTTTGATTAATTAATTTGTATTACGGCGGGCGTGAATAAAATTAACCGAGTAGGATTTGTATGGTCAGAGCTAAATATAATCCCCGTTTCTTTGATGTCTTTTTACTGGATGCAATGACGAGCTTACCATATCGACTTGTGCTGTGCCAATTGCCAATGTTGTGATCTGACGTAAATGGAAATAACTCTTTGGACTTACCCACATTGCTAATGTGAGCGACAATGGCGATTACCATGTGATGCCCCATATCTTTCCTATTGGGTTGTGCTGTCGATGAGGGCTTTGCTATCGTTAATCGGACAAAAGAGTTTTAAGGATTGGTAATCTACCAGCTTGGTTCCATTAAGAATATGGTTACTGTTACTGTTGATAGTTTGTCGTACAAACCATGTCTAAATTCTTAGCTATTACTATTACACATTAGCTGCAAATACCCGTGGCATATCCTCCGCAACATATGACTTGTTCCAAAGCAGTTGAAAACAACATTAATATAGCTCGTTTTCTTAGAGGTCAATAGTTAATATCTATATATTTTTTTATCAACTCATCTTCTGCATTAACCATTTAAACTTGCCTGTTGACGTTGTGATCATCCAGGCTGTCTTTCCAGAAACAGTTCCTTCACTTGAGAAGAAAATACAAAAATTGGTTAATGTTATCAATAGTAACATTCTGAAACGCATCTCAATAATTGTTTTAAAGGTTTAATAACAATAATATGATCGAATCGCTGACCAAAACTTCCTTATCTGTTATGTGAGTTTTTTCGTCATGTACGGATTTCGTGTAACAAAGTCCATATACCGAAGTACGCTATATATAGCAGAGTCCGTTATACGCAGCTTGAGCATAAGAATAAGTAAGATTCGATCGGAATCATCCTTTCTAATAAATTACAAGCTTGGCCCTATCAATTTACTTCTTAGCAAGGTGATGTGAACATATGAGAGCTAATTCTGCTCTGACAAAAAGATACAATCATTACGAAAAGCAAGGAGTTTTTTACATTCGAATCTTAAAATAGTTTTGAATTGAATTTATTGTTAGGTTTTATATTTATGTCATACATGTTATAATTGTTATAACGGATTTTTTGCAACTGTCCGGTATAAACCCCCACAATTTGATATTACAGACAAAAGCGCAGGTCCCGAACAGTCCGTTATATCGACTTTCACCGTGTATACTGTAATATTAACAAAGTTGTAAAGTTTATGGATAAGAACTGAATTGTTTAAAAGCTTTATATGTTTACACAATGGCATACTGGTATGTGTTGATAGACGAAAACGATACGCTTCTGTGCGAGTTGGCTCATTAAATAGTGTTAATCATACAAGTCTAACAAAAATAGGACATTAAAAGTTTAACGGTCTAACAATCATTATTCCAGTGAAAACCTGTTGCCGAAATTATGATATAAATTAGAGCATCTTGGTATAAGTGTCTGTGAATATGTTACTGATTTAGGTATCCGCTATTGCGAATTCATCCCCTAAACTCAAATACCTTGACATCAGTCAATGGGTGTTTGGTAATTATCAGAGAAATTGAACCGATACATTACTTTTCTTGTTATATGTCGGCTTTGCAGAAAATCTCTGAATCTCGTCACATGCTACGGCACAACAAAAGTCAGGCGCATGTGGATTATCTTGCCATGAGATTCTTCACGTGCCGAATTCTGAGTGCTTCGAATTTCAAGCTGATGATAGGTGGAAATCTCCGATTTGGCTGCCTTATGCGCTAAGATCCATGTTTATAGGACATCTGGCTGTAAAGTTATTGAAGAGGTGGTCCGTGACTTTTGAGTCGGCACTGTACATTTTTTATTATAATCTTACAATAGTACAAGTGTTGAAGAATGGTTGGATTCAAGATCAAATCCATCCAATTTATAAGAAGATAGGCTAAAGATAGCGTTTGGTAAAGAAACTACGGCGTATACAGTCAGGCCTCTTATAATCACCAAGTCCGTTGCACCTCAAAGTGGTGATTGTATAGGGGTGTGACTGTAATTATAAAACCTCTATACAATCACTACCATAATTAAAATAATGTGCAGTGATTATATAGATGATTTTACGTTTGTATTATAAATGGTATAACAACTTAATAAAACAAAAATGTGAAACAATAATTAACAATAGAGTAGTAATAGTGATTATAAAATTCATTTATTGTTTATTAATTATTATTTCGTTAATTATTATTTAGAACAGCATAATTATGACAATAAAATTTTAACTAAAAAATTGGTTATTTGAACTTGCTTTTTAGTTTGCATTTTAAGTTTATGAACTGTTTTAAGATACTTTTTAAAAACGCGTACATCGGCGTTTTTAAATTCATCCGTCTTTTGCTGTTCAAAGAAAGTCACCCAAGTTTGTAAAGACTTTATTTCCAATGTTTCTCCATTCCTATATGGTTATAATTTCCTATATTCTTTTTTCTTTGTCCAGTATATACTAATACTAATCGAAACAGATTGAAATTCCGATTTCGGGAGCATATTAATATGAACCGCCATCCGGAAATCGTGATAATTTTTATTCTGATCCGGTAAAAGATTATTTTCTCTGAAATATGCTAAACGGGCCCAAATTCGTTCTTTCCGCTCACCAGGAGTTTCATCGGTGCGAATTTGTGGCATCCGGCAATATTCGGTCCATTCAATATCAGTACATTTAGAACCGCGTAAATCCTGAATAGTACCCATTTTATTTTATACGTGCTATAAATACGTGTTTAATGGAATATAGCGCTATATGTAATTTTCAGACGTATCAATTATATGCATTATAAATATGGGATTCAAGTTTAATCGAATTTGAGTCTCTGACTCATCCTTTTTTAGCAAAGTCCAAGATTATCTCCTTTCTGAGCTTAGTGATGTATAAAATCACATAAATTCGCCAAGATTTGAATATAAGGCGTTAACTGGTGCCATAACCTGCATCATATTTACCAATTTTAACGTGCTATCGTTTTCGCAGACCTGTAATAAAATCACGATAGACCGCCTTGTAACTCGTTTCAGTTGGCAAGAGTGTAAGCGATTGAGCAATTCGGTTGATGTTTCTACCAGAACTTGGTAATCAATGTAGTTTTTGAGAAAATCCTTTACAACTGTAGCAACAGTCATTGTCAATGGTTATTTTGGTTTTCCGTCGTGGCATTCGTTTTATGTTACCATGAACGCGCGGTATTATACCATTCGTCGCTAGGTAATTTCTGAAATTTTCGAAGTGAGTGCGACCGATTCTTAACATGTTTTCTGGCAAAGTATTGTGATCTCAATAATAAAAAGTTCTTTTATTAGTACGCGTTTTCTTTTTAAGACGTCGGCTGGCAGTTATCTCCCCAGCATTCATCGCTTTCAGCTGGGCCATTAAAAATACTCGGCAAACTTCTCTCTCGGGATCCTTTTTGAACAACCACAGTTGCAACCTGTCTCCAAAAAGCGTATTGCCTTGTCATATTCGGTGGAACCGTTATAATTATATACAGATAATCCTATACATTAATTTTTAATTTTTGTCATTATGAAATAATTTGACAAAGATAGCCAACTGGCTTTTGAAAAATTTAAAACCATAATATTAATATGCTTATTGTGTTCTGCAATGTCTTAGTCTTGGAATTTAATCATTAAACCAACTTTTTTATGATTCTAATTCACCTACTCAATATCAATATCAGCCATTCTTCAACCAAACTTAAAGAAACAGATATTAATAATGGTTTTAAGTGAGCATTTTTAGTATCAACAATATAACCTCTTTCTTTGAACAGAAATTTACTATGGTGAAGATTGCTAACTAAAAAGCTAGTGTTGCACACAATGCTATAAGAGAATTCTCATAAAGGGTTAGTATTATATTAATCAGCCTTTGTATTTGATGGCATTGAGGAACTCCAAGTGATCATCTTCAAACACACTTGCTGCATTATTTTTGTCAACAATAACAAGGGCATGTTCATATTTTTCAGATCGGATGTCATGAATGTTTTCAACAGGCCCTCGGCTCTTGTGTTGCACAGATACATATGGATATGTGACCACCATTCGAATAATGCGCTTGCCAAACTTTTTCAGCTTTGTGGTGACATTTAAATGTTCTGTGATTCTACCATTATTATTATTATTATATAGATGTTTGGGGTCTGTGGTTGCAATTGCATCACCCATTGATATGTTACGACGAGTCGGTCTGATGATTCAGT